GAAAGACCAATATAACCACCATGTTTCCTTACAAGTGGAGTCGATGGTTAACAAATCTTAAGGTAGTGATAACAAGATAGAAAGGCCACAATTATAACGCATTCATCAAGACTGGAAGAGACCGGACGAGCAATCTTAATCGTCCAACAAGCATGCCTCGACCGGACTCGAAGAGGTCTTCTTCTTACCGGTGGACAAGTCTGGTAAGTAGCGAAAGTAACTCTGTAACTTGCCATTCTTCACTAGCTCAGTTGCTTTATCAATCTTGCCATCACCCATCAAACGCTCGATCACGGGTTTATACATGTTCGGGCGAGACAGGACCTTGTGTTTGATGGCTTCTTCGGATATCTCAACTGCTATATCAAGATTACCTTTCTTGCAGATAAGAGGGATTAACAAACAGTAAGTCACTGAATCAGGAGTCAGACCTTTCTCCTTCATCTCAGTGTACCATTTCAGAGCCTCCTCGAGGTTGTTATCACCGCGGTAAACCGTGATGAAAGCATTGTAAGTATGAACATCTGGAGAAACCCCTTCGGTATTCATAACATCCATCAAGTTAATTGCATCAGTAAACTTCTTGGTCCGAGTCAGACCTCTCATTCTTGAGTTATAACTCCTAATGTTGGGAACAAGATTCTTAGATTTCATCAAATCCCAAATCCTATCTCCTTCAGCAAACAAATCCCTCCTATAGAACTCTTCTAACAGTGTGTTGAAAGTGATCAAATCAGGCTCAAACCCATTCGTCTCAAGCTCCTCAAAGATGGACAATATATCATCCATAGAGCCTTTCCGACAAAGTGCCTTAATCATGGTATTATAAGTGACAAGATCAGGAGTAATACCTAGCTTCTCTGGCAACTCCTTGAAGGCCTTCATGGCCTCATCAAGCTTCCTCGAATTCACATAAGCCGATRGGAGCGCATTGAACGACTTAACAGTGCGTTCACAGTTTAGCTCAGGCATTTCGTCGAACAGCTTGTGGGCATGATCCGCCATTCCTGAGTACCCATAAAGAAGCATGATACGGATAACGAAATCCTCAGATTTTATGTCATCAAACTTCTTCTGGTGCTGAAGAACTTCGTCGATCATCGAGAACTTCTTAGCTTCCCTGAGGCGGCGGATAAACGCACTGTAGAGTCCATGGACTTGCCGGAAACTCTCTGACTCGCAGGATCTCTTGAATTTCTCTAATTTCTTAGTCAATTTCGCACCTTTTGCTTCCTTGGCGTCATTCGAGGACTTCACTACGTCTCCTTCAGAGGCGGAAGCAGAAGAAGCTGTGGATTCCTTCGATTTACTAATGAACTTTTTGGATTTGGATTGGTTTCTGGGTTTTGTGGGCTTAATGGTGGCGATTGGAGTTTCTTTAAAGATTCCATGGAGGCGACTGTAGAGCGACGAGCCCACCTTGCTCATTGCTTCGTTGAGGTAGAAATGTGAGTGTGAGGGTTTAGGGTTTTGGACATGGAAGAGTGGCTCCGGCTTAGGTCTTATGCAATTGAAAATGAGAAATGCGTCTTATTTTGTAAAACAAAACAGCGTGCTGTTCTACTACGCCATGGCTGGACTACGTAGCGTTTTTAAACGAGAAATGGGAAGAACAAAAGAACTTTGTCTTCTTAACTTTTTAAAGCCCACACAAACACAAAACTACAGGTAGTTCAGTTATTCAATCACAGCTCTCGCAGTTTGCAACAAAGACAATAAAGAGATGAAACAAAGACTAAAAACTTGTAAATAAGCTTCGCCAATGAACTACTCTTCGGAAGAGAGACGTAGCTTGAACTGCAAATAGTCATTCGTCTTGGCGAGCTCGACGATCTCTTCAGCTTCGTCTTGCTTTGACCCTTTCACCAATTCATCAACCACCTCCTGCAAGATGGCCTGCTCGACAAGTAGACGCTTACTGAATATCTCCTTGGAGAGCTCAAAAGCGGACTCTAAATCGCCCGCCTTACACATTGCAGGGAGCAATGAGGAAAATATATATTTCATTGGGCGACAACCATTCTTCTCGACTTCTTTGTACCAAGTTTTGGCCTCGTCCACTTTTCCTTCAGCCACACATCCTCTAATCATAGCAGTGAATGTGAATACATCAGGTTTGATCCCATTAGCCTTAAGTTCGTCAAAGAGACTAACCATCTCTTCTGATTTCATCTCCATGGCTAATCCTGACAACCGAGCATTGTAACCACGTATGTCTCTTGTCACATTGTTCTCTAACATTCTAGCCCATATCTCTTCTCCCTGCTTAAAGTCCCCTTTTTTATACGACCCATGTAAAAGTACGTTGTAGGTAATATGATCAGGTTTCAGACCCTTGTTCTCAATCTCATCAATCAAAGCAACAGCTTCGGATAAGGAACCCTTTCCACACAATCCCTTGATCAAAGTATTGTAAGATGCAATATCTGGTTCAATCGAGAGTTTACCTGGCAACTCCTTGAAGATACCTTCAACCAAATCGAACTTCTTGGAGTTCACACACGCATTAAGCAAAGAGTTGAAAGACAACACTGTTCTTTTGCAGTTTCTCTCAGGCATTTCGTCGAACACCTTCTGTGCATTCTCAAACATACCGGCCCGTCCATACAGACTGATAATCCTGGCCACGAACCCTTCCTTTGACATGTTTGGGTACTTATTCTGCTCCTCCAGGATCTCCTCGATCCACTCAAACTTCTTGGCTGCGGCGAGACGGCGAACGGTTCTCTCATAGACTGCTATATTTTTCCGGAACCATTCCGCTTGGCAGGCCTTCTTGAACTTCTCCGTGATGTATTTCGGGTCGCTTTCTTCATTTACGAGGTTGATGAGGGACGGTCTTCGTTCCGAGGTTGCGGCTGAAGCAGCGCTCACGGCGGAGAAAAGGCGGCGGTTCGTGATGGTCCTGATGCTGGAGGTGTCACGGAGGAGAAGACGAGCGAGAGACGACATCGTTTTTAGGAGTGTGCAAGGTTTTTAGGTGTGGATCGGAGTGTGCATAATTTCTAAGGGTTTTAGTCAGGGGAACGGCTTTAATACTTCAGATTAGGTTTCAGGAAACAAAAGAACCTCAAATTTTAAAAACACAACTCTAAAAAATACTGAGTATATCATTTTGAGAACTTTCATGATTTATAATTTTTTTAATTTAAGTATTGATTAAAAATAGTTAATTTGTCCCTAACATAACATGTACCCATCCGATCAAGTAATCATTTGGTTATGTAACTAAAAATCTCAAGAGAATCAAGAAGTACGATGAGCATAGCTTGGGTTGGAGACTCATTTGTAGCTCATTGGAAACTTACCTCACGACGAATCTTAGAAGGAATGTAAACCTCTGACAGATAAGAGAGTGAGTGAACTGAGAGTGCTTCGATTTCAAACTTCACTCCTCTTTTCAGCATTGTTTCCAGTTCCAACCTTTCACGACCAAAACGTTTTGATCAAGACTAATTTTTGGTGCTTTTGGATGAAATGTGAATTATAAAAAGATGTGGAAGTATGTTGGTACCTCCATTGTGGCATTTCACGCTTCAGGTAGCATCTAAGCAACATTGCTTCGGTTCTTTTCTTATCTGTCAGTGAAAAGTGAAAATTGCCAATTCTCAAAAAAAGGAAGCAGCAAGTGGGAAAAAAAAAAAGCTTGAAGCGATCAGGTGTTTGATGATCTTACCTTCTTCTGTCAAAGGCAAAAGACACTGTTGCGGAACATCGTATATCTCAGAGTCTGAAGGAAAAACTCCCAACCATTTTATATCTGGTGCTCGTAATGATTCTATATCATAGGCCATTTGCTTACAGAAAGAGAAAAGATAACCAAGGAAGGATCACTATCAACAAACAATGCAAGGAGTGAAACTTTTCAAATTCAATCATCTACATTTTGCAACAGAATCTGAAAGACAACAAGTGACACAAGGGAAATGGTTCAAAATTAAATGTAGTAAGTCCATATGGATCACTATCAACAAAGCAATACAAGCGGTGAAATTTTTCGATTTTGTAAAAGAGTCTAACCATGGAGCCAAATCGGTAAGTGGCTAGGATCTCAAAGCCATATGGATCACAGTCGACTAGACAATGCACAGGTAGATGCAATTTCTCCATGAGGAGTCGCAAGAACCTGGAAAAAATCTATGTTATTATCTAATGTAGTTATCAAAATAAAGGAGAATGTCTGATACAATAGTATTCCAAGAACCTGGGATTAAATTATGTACCTTCTTGTAGAGACATCAGGATAGCCTCTTCCCTGCCAAAAACAGTCGTCACCTTTGATGTGAAACAACAAAAAATGGAAGGAACGAAAAAGGAAAACTAGTCAAAACTGAAATCAGTAAGAATGAATCAAATGCAGTGCTTACCGTGATGACGATACAGCGGTTCATCATGCAAAACATGTCGTTTGCTAAACGCTGGAATACTATAAACCATGGATGAAGTGATTGATCAGTTAGTAGGCATGAAGAAAGAAAAGCATCTTCTGGTAGCTATGTAATAGATGATTTACCTGTTTCTTTTTCCACCACCAGTATATACTCTGCTAAGCTAACAATATCTGCAACCAGGAACATAACATCCAATTATCATTTCACAATCTTGTTAGCTTAGATAAGGATTTGACTCCTCTAGAGAGCATAAAGCATCATCTAAAATGATTGTCTATTAGTAACAAAGGAAAATTGCTGCTATCTATGTGACTTTCCCCACAAACATCAAACCTTCTAAAGACTATCAACAATACAAAAGATGAATAAGAAGAAATTATTTTCCGCAGATATATGATACCTTCGACTTCCTCTACAAGAACAGGAACGGGAAATGCCTGAAATGAAGTCATTTGCAGAATTATATTTCCTGATGCCAATATCGGATATCAGTGAATCTTATGTTCCAATCTTACAGTATTCAGGCTGTTTAAACAATCAAACTTCCTTCCAGCTTCTCTAAATTTTAACCATCCCATCACCAACCTACGACACAAAAGAATGATAAGGTGAATCCTAAAATAAGGACATGCCTCAAGATAGAAGCAAGAGTACCCACCCGTTTCCAACAGAAACCTGCAAAATATCACAGAGCCACATTTTAATACTCAATTGGGGATTATAATTCTTCAGACGGAGAATTGAAGGTGAAAGTATTCAAGTACTAACCACATTCAAGTTGAACCGACTACACTGAAAAAGGATGCATATATCACCAATTGCGCGGTCTACAACTGATTGTGCTGTGGAGCATAGAAAAACACGACAAGAGTGATGCATAATCATATCCAAGCATACTAATCACAGAAGTTAATATTTAAACATTTAATGTTGTTCCAGATTTACCTTTGAATGCTGATGGGTGCATGTAGTAGATATCTCTTTTGGATGCATGCCTATTTTCTTGCACAAGTTGTTGGACTATCAACAATACTCTTAACAAGATATCTGAAAGAAATTGCAAAATGTGATACTGGTTGGTTACTCTTGACCAAGATAACGATGCTCGGGACTGATGAAACCTGACTCACCGATTCTGTAGGTTTGGGAACCCCTCTTAAGAGTGAGAATTTCCTGACCCTTTGGTTTATCAGAGCTGCAAAAGCTATAGACAAAGGAAGCAGTAGCGAATCGTAAATTTATGAGGTCAAATCACACAGACAAATCGATGAGTATCAGAGTTCCAATACTCGTTTTCCTTAAATCCTTCAAAAATAGCTCGTTCAAAGGGGGAAAAATTGAAAATCTCAATAGCGACAAACCAATCCGCTTCTGGATTCATGCAATAGTTCCTAAATCGATTGATGGAAATTTCCGGAGATCGTCCCTCAGCCAGATCTTCAACGATCGATCTAGTAAATCCTGCTCAAAAACCGAATCATGGTGATGAACAACGAAGAACCAGCGAAATCATCGACTTGACATTTCAACCTAGAGGATGATTTACTCGTACACGATTCGAAATTTTGGCTATATAATTTTGGGATCGATCTTACCTTTGATTCTTTGAAGCAAATTAGTCGCTTCTGGATTTAGAATTTTTCCCTCCATCTCTCATTCGTTTAATTTTTTTTCTTCTTTTTCAAAACCGATTATGTAATCGGCGACGAATTTATATACGAAACGAAATAATATGAAATGGGTACGAAATGTTTGCCGTTATAAGCTTTAGATTATAACATGCGTGTCGTTTTGTTTCTATTCTCCATATGGAGAAACGCCGTGACGTTGTCAATGGACGTGGGCAGACTACGCAACGCGGTGAGTCGGTGACGTCAGAATTTGTAACCGGTTGATGCA